CTTCAGCTCTCGAGGTAAGGCAGCTCATGCGTGTATGCGAATGTGTTTCATGCGTAAAACGGAACGCAGAGCGAAAAAGTTATTTAGCGATAGAGTTATTTAGAATATTGTATTTGCAGTGTAGCTGCAATATTGCAGATTTAATATTACGCAATATTGTGTTTGAAATATTGTTGCACCATTGCATTTACAATATGCAATCTTGCAACGTTGCAGCAATGCTGCTGCAGCTTTTGTGCTGTATGGGCTCTGCTTATGTACAACAACAAATTATCCCAAAAATATTGCACCGTAACATTGCTATAATGTTGCACTGCAATCTCTCTGAGGGCGGACATTTCAACGTTGCCGCAATCCTCCAGAAACGTTGCAGCATTGTTGCGCAACGTTGCTGCAATATTGCAATCTTGCAATGTAACATTTCTGCAATCTTTCTGTGCTGTGTGGGTTTCCTCTCAAAACAGTTTTCTTTGGTGAAACATTATCGTTAGTAAAGTCACACATCTTTAAACCAACATGGTTGAGGTAATATTTTTCGCAATAAGAATTCAGTGACTGGAAGGAGGGATCGTAGAATGCCAATAGCATCCAAACATTTAATTGTTTGTCGAGTTAAAGATATGTGAATTTACCGGCGACAATATTCCACCAAGGAAAATTCCGAAAGTAATCGCCACGCAGGGCGGGTGGAAAAACGATATAAAAATTCACTTATGTATAAACCACTAGGCTACCTGCATGCTACTCACATCGTATTGACTATCGCTATCTTATTTCTTATTGTGATTTACAAATATAAATGCTATAGCAAAAACCCATGCAGCACAGATGGTTGCAGTTACATTGCAGAAACGTTGCAATCTTGCAGAGACATTGCAGGGATATAAAATTGCAAACTTTCGATAGCAATATTGCAGCAATGTTTCAAAAATAATGAAAATACTATATTTTCTATTTAAAAAATTTTTCTAATTACGAAAATTTTATAATGTTATTTTCGTTGATACCAATAATGCGCGAATTTTGAAGTACTTGATCAGTGCGGTGTTGCTCGCAATCTCCATCTATAGCGAAGCGACATAATCTCCTTAGGTTGCTTCGCAATAGCTTGCTGTGTATTGAAAAAGGCCCGGATGCATATGTAATTAATAAATTCTCTGCTTATGTACAACAACAACAAATTATTCCAAAAATATTGCACCGCAACATTGCTACAATGTTGCACTGCAATCTTTCTGAGGGCGGACATTTCAACGTTGCTGCAATCCTCCAGAAACGTTGCAGCAATGTTGCGCAACGTTGCTGCAATATTGCAATCTAACATTTCTACAATCTTCCTGCAATCTTTCTGTGCTGTGTGGAAATATTGACAAATGCTGCAGGTGATTGAAAGATCTTTCTTTAACGCTGATTCTGATTTCCGAGCAGGTATCAGAAAAGAATTCTACGGGCAGACCGTACTGTAATAAAACGACTGCTGAAAAGCGAAGAGACATATCTTACTTTGTAACGTATGAGCGAGCAGCTGGCAGTGTGTCCGGATTCTCTTTCATGATAAAGTGTCGTATTCCCAGGATGTAGTGCTCCAAGTACGACGGCCAGTCGATTTGCCTAACGTCGAACATGAATGTCTCTCGATCCTCCAGACTGAGCTGCTCGGCCAGTCGTCGCACATTGTCGTCTCTAAAGTTCCACTGTTTCGTACTGAAATACTCCAAACACTGGGCGGCTTTGGAAAGTTTCGTCTGCAGGCGGACCATCGTGGGTCGCGAGCCTTTGAGTCGAGCGAAAATATCTATGACGTACGCAGGTAGCAGATGCTGAAATGCCACGCACAATTTGTTTATCATGACAGAGCTGTGGCAGCGACCGTCCGGATACCAGATCACATTGTTCATCGGGTGTAGCCGGGAATATTTGAACGACAGGTCGACGAACTGCTTCCAAGTTATAGGATTCTGCTGGCCGGTGCAACAGTTGTAAATCGGGATGGTGTCGGTGCGTTGCGTCGCGGTTCTCCATGCCGCGCAAATCATTAGATTTATCACTAGATCGACGGGTACCAGATCCGCCACTTTATCCTCGTGGCACAGCATAGTTCTGCAAACGCGAGATCGCGGTTTGTAAGAGAGATTTGTTGAGCACGAGAGAATAATGACTTACGAAGATTATAAGCAATGCCACCGGTGTTCATTCCGATTCTTTCGTAATATCGATACCGCGTTTCGCTAATTATGAATACCGTTCGTCGTCATCACCTGAAGAAACCTTTCCCGGCGGCGGCGATAATCCCCGTCGGGCCGTTGATATTGTCAACCCAGCCGGCAACCGGTTCTCTATACGACGACAGCACGATCGACGGCCTGACAATCGCCACTGGTAAAGAACCCTTTTCCCGTTGCAGCATTCGCTCGGTCAGTGCTTTGGTAAATGTATATGTGTTTGGTCGGCTGGCGATCAGATTCGGCGTGAATTCCTCAAACATTTTGTCGTCCATCCACTCCGTCAGAGCGATCACCTGATCGGGTTCCCGGCCCACCGGATAAATCTCCTCGGCGACATCGAGCCGGTCGCAGTTGCAATACGCCGTCGACACGTGAATGAACGCCTGCGATCAAACATTTGCATTCTTAACGCATTTAAGTATTTTGCGGGTACGAATTGTGAAAAATACGCAATTGTAGAGAATGCGAACGCCCATCTTTTGCCTCGTGTCAGTCGAAACGTGCGCTCTTAATGATGATAATGCGTAAAAACGTGTTGACGAGGAAAATTCTAGATAAGGTGTACCTCAAAAAAGAAAACAGGAAAAGACACTTTGAAAAAAACTAAACACTATTTAATGATCAGCTGCGCGCAGTGCCATCAATAAATGTCAAGTCGCTCTCTGCTCGTTCACCGTCACATAAAAGAAATCAGTAAAATTTATCAGAGACAATTGTCCGCATGTAAGTTTCCTGCACGTTTTACTTCGATATATGTAAAATACGCGTGTATAAAATGACAATAAAATATTCGTTTCTTTTTTTTTAAGTAGCTTCCGAAACTCCTGTAATACTATTTGACACTTTTATTCTCTTTACATCGTACGTTTTGTTCGCGCAAGTCCGTAACTAATTTTGCTGTCGTGAGAGAACAAACAACAAATGGGATTAAACGATAGATGATCGGTGAGTGATTTACGATAGAATCGCGATACAATTAGAGTGCAGAGTACAAATACACCCGTATATAAGCCGGCTTTTATTTACCTTTCGGAATTTGTTGACACAAATCGAATGTATTTAAGTAGAAACTCGGACAGAGTTGTCGATTAATTAAAAATCGATGCCGTACATCACGAGCAAATGAAACGAAGCGTTCGAAAGATTCTCGAGAGGATATGCCTCGAGGGTGTATCTTTCGAGATGAGGTAGAGATGTAAACCCTCCGTAGACAAAAGACGCTGTAATCTTTCGTAAAGAGCACATTCGTCAAAAAATGAGATTGCTATAGACACAATTCGCCGTTTTATTTACGCGAATTCGATTTACGGCCGCAAATCAATCCCGGCTTGACGCATCTCGGTCCGAATTGAGCAATTCGACGAGGGAGAATCTCTTCCTTACCTCCACATTGTGCATGCGGTTACATAATTGAACCAATCTCTTGGTGCCCAGCATATTTATGGTGACCGAGAGCTTCAAGGCCTCGTCGAATTTGACGGTGGCCGCTGAATGAAAGACGATCGATACGGATTGTATTAATTTATTTTGATCGTCCGGTGAGATACCCAGCTCTGGTTCCGTAATGTCGCCGGCCACGGGTATGATCTTGGAAAGTTCGCCAGGCGAATCCCGTCGTAATTTCTCGAAAAGCTGCCGAAAGAAAGTGCAACTTTAATGTTTCGAAATAGCGATCGAAGTGGCAGAAGGAAAGTGGCATTATTACCGGCCCCTTCGTAAGTTCCTGCAACCTCTCTTGCACGTTCTGGCCCTTTTTAGGTCTCATTAGAAGGTAGATGTTTTTGATGTCTGGACATGATCTCAGCAGCTTCTCGACGAGAACCTTGCCCATGAAACCCGTAGCTCCGGTTATAAGAATCGATCTGTCTCTGTAAAAGTCCTTCACGGATGTGTATTCACTGCCAGCCATCGTGGCCATATCAATTATTTGCTGAGCGCGCGTCCTGTGGAAAATATCAAGAATTAGAAAGACGAAAATATCTAATATGCAAGATATAATTATTTACCAATTTATTCTTATGTTATTATCTATATATTATTATCTATTATCGTGACGTATCCTACCTGAATTATTTCGTTGAACTTTTAAATTACTTTAAGGCAGAAAGTACTTTACCCTTCTGTTTCCGCGATAAGATTTTCCCACGTTTTTACATAAAATCACGCATTAGATAGATGGATAGTAAGATACTAGGTCATCCGAAAAGCTGTGAGAATTCCGACCATCTATCGCATTTGGGACCGGTTTGTTCGGCAGCGCGTAAGTCAAGGCTTATAGGTGAAGGATAGTTTAACGATCCCTGATTGCGCTTTGCTCTTTCAAATGCAGGTCTTTTGTGGCAAACAAAGCAAGCAACATTGGATGGCGCGATCGCGAAGATGGATAGCCAAAAACTTCATTTACGCCACGTTGTATTTTTTTGCTTTCGGAAAGGAAACACCGCGGTGGAAACTACCCGTGAAATTTGCAACATTTACGCGAAGGATGCTGCATCAAATCAAACAGTGAGGCGATGGTTCCCGTGATTTCGTAATGGCAATTTCGAGCTCGAAGATACCCTACGGTCTGGAAGATTCGAGGACTGCCTGGCGCAAGTAGAATGAAAATCCTCGCAGAAGTGTATTGGAACTCTCACAAGATCTCAACGTTCCAAGAGGACGCTCCATGACCGTTTAAAACGTAAATTTTTGTTTTAGAACCTCAAAAATTTTCAGAACTTTTCGGATGACCTAATAGATATACCTTAATTCTTTGAGTATAAAACTTATTTAACATTTGATACGAATCAAATATTAATAAAAGAATAAATAATATTTAATATTTTTAACAGAAGTGTATTATGTTTGCATTTATATATATATATTTTTAGTCATTCTACATATAAAAATATTAAGATAAAATGGCCAAAAAATTCATAATTTTTACGAGACAATTGTTCCGATTAGTACCTTATTTAATTCATCTCATTATTCTATGCATAAAAATATTAAAGTAGGATCATCGAAAAACAATATTGCTTCCTCATAGAGGAAGCTTTGTTTTCATGCGAAAAATTTTTTTCCAGTTTTCATTGCCAATGGGTTTAGAATGTTTTAAAAACTCAAAAAACACAATTTTTAAAAAATGTATGTGTGTGTGTGTGTGTATGTGGCCGTTTTTTGCTCGCGCTCTCACGTCCGCAATTTTTGAGATACCGCCTTCTACTTTGGCACATTTATTGAGTGTGATTACGAGATCGCTGGTATTGTATTTGACGTTAATCGGTGCAACGGTTCACTTTATACATACATATATATGCATATTTTCGTTTAAATTCCAGAATAACTTTTTAAATATTCAAGCTAGAAAAAAAAGTTAAACACTAAAGTTATATCGTTTTTACTGCCGCATTTCATAGCAATATCAGTTTGACCTTGAATAGCTTTATCAAGGTTATCTAAAGATCAACCTCAAATTTTTATTCCGAACCCTCCTTTTTCATTACATATTCTTGTAGCTTATTTCAATAGCTTTCCAAAACGATATAATAAAGTTCGTTTTCGCTAAGTACTTTTGGAGTTATGAGGATTGAAATTTACGGTACTTCGTATTAATCCCTGAATAACTTTTTAAATATCCAAGATAGAAAAAAATGTTAAACACTAAAGTTGTATCGTTTTTAGTGGCGCATTTCATAGTAATATCAGTATGACCTTGAAGAGCTTTATCTAAAGATTACCTTGAAATTTTTATATGGAACCCTCTTTTTTCATTACATATTCTTGTAGCTTATTTCAATAGCTTTCCAAAACGCTATAATAAAGTATGTTTTCGTTAAATACTTTTGGAGTTATGAGGTTTAAAAGTTACGGTACCGCCAGCATTATCCCTGAATAACTTTTAAAATTTCCAAGATAGGATTTGAACACCACCTCTGATGTTCCACTTAGTTGCGTCACATATACAACACACACACACACGCGCGCGCGCACGCACGCACGCACGCACGCACGCGCGCACGCACGCACGGACATTATTAAAACGGGGGGGGGGAGGGGGAAAGGTGCAAATTGGAAATTTGCACATTGCTTCCTCATCATGTAGCCTTTTTTAAATTTTAAAGTAGCAAATTGGAAATTTGCAAAATGCAACATCAGCATTTTGGCAAGTTGTCTATTCAATTTTTTTTTAATTTTAAAGGTGCAAATTGGAAATTTGCACATGGCTTCCTCATAGAGGAACGTTTAGGAGCGATATCTAATTTTGCACGATGTTTCTTGAAAGTGTGCAAATTAGAAATTTGCACCTTGCTTCCTCATCATTGAAGCGTGCAAATTGGAAATTTGCAAATTTCTTCCTCATCATTAAAGTAGGCAAATTAGATATTTGCACATTGCTTCAATTGTTATGGCTTCCTCATAGATGAAGCTTTATGAGAGAAATCTAACTTTACTACGATGTTTCTTGAAAGTATTCAAATTATTCTTATTTTGTTCTTAAAGCTTCCTCTATGAGGAAGCCATAACAATGGAAGCAATGTGCAAATTTGTAATTAGAAAAAATTAAATAAAAGTAAAGTGTGCAAATT